GGCCATCGTTTTACAAGATAGATGAAATTTACTGAAAGATCTAAAGGTTATCGCAAAAATCGAGTTTAAAAAGTTCGACGATCATAATATCAAATGGGGATTATTTTGAAGGAATAATATTAATGTTGACAAATGAATACCTTGTATATTCATATGTATGTTTATTGACTTGCAATAAGAAAATAACTATGAAATAACTATATCGCTACTGTAGAAATATTATATATACCACTCTTTCACATCGTCTGTAATTTATTTTAAAAGTTGTGATAGTTGTGTTCTGAATAACAGATTAGATTGGGTGATATCTCCCTTGTGGCCCAATGGTCTAGACCATTATTCATATTTTTAATATTTCTGCGGYCATTACTTGTACTAATAGTAGATATGTTTGAAAAAGAATAAATCCACTTTGTCATGTGATTATTGACAGTAGATTTTATACAATTGGAGCGCATGTATACACTAAGTTTATCAAAAGTATGGAGGGGAAAAAATATGTATAAGCATAAATATTTATATATGAAATAGATAGGYAAGCAAAGCTTATGCCATCAGCAGTTAAACATTTTAAGACCAAATAATAAACTATTTAAAAAACAGTTAGGCAGGGGTAAAATCAAAGGCAGCCCAATATTATTTACCCGCGCGATATGTTAGAACCAAAGGTGTAGAAATACTTGCAGTAGCCTCCAAAAATTTATAATAAGAAATATCGCACRTTAATTCAATATTATTCATTAACCAAAATCTTTCAAGGGTTATACTTAACCAGAACACCGGAAAGAAAATTGTAGTGGATGTCAGGAAAACGTATGAGCTGATTTTCAATTTTTTTTAAGTCGAAAATTGCTTTATTGGCTTCATTAGGGCGGGGGGTAAGTCTTAAATTTGAGTTGTTGTTTTAGGCAGATATACGAATTTTGCTGTAGCAATTGATCAGTTATGATAGCTGACTGTCCTRTTTGTGACCTTCTCTACTCTAGTACTTACAAAGATTGGATCAAATTTAAAATATGAAATCTCCACAGCGCTTCAAGTCGAACAATCTCCGCATATACGTAACAGACATACATTCATTCCATTAGATTAATCCAATTTTCGAGTACTTTTTCCATTACATCAAGTGATATGCCATGAATAGCACGTTCAATGTTGACTTTCAAAGCTTGAATAAGGTCTGGTTTATTGCTAAAGACCAATGACTTCAAATAACCACATAAGACGTTCTTTTTGGAGACCATTCAATTTCACAATTTCTAGAAATAATCGAATCTCCAAAACTTTTCCAGCAATAATTCGGTTGTTGTTGTTCGCTGTGTGACAGATAGCTCCGTCTTGTTGGAACCAAATGCTGTTAAGATCAACTTCTTCCAAATGCTGCCATGAAAAGTTGGTTATCATCGATCTATATCGCTCTCCATTGATAGTAATGGTGTTTTCTTTTCGCTTTATTTCGAAAGAAGTACGGGTCGATGATGTCAATTTAGGTGAATGTAATGGTTATTCATAAATAATTTAAGAATTTTCTTCGCACCAGAATCGACAGTCTGTCTTATTGGCACTTTAACATTCTGTAAAGAAAATGTACGTTTGAAATTTTTAACAATTCGACGAATAGCGAGCACAGGTGAACGATTACGACTATCATAAAATAGCAAAAGCGCACAAAAAGTTGCAATTGCACAACGATTATATTGATAATAAAATTGTATAATTTGTAAATGTTCATTATGTACAAACATATATACATTATACGTATATTTGTATGTGTATAACTATGTGTAGTAATATGCCATATGACAACGGCATCGGCGTCACCAGCGTCAATTATCAGCGTTATAATTATATTTATCAGCTATGAGCCGCCTCCAGTTGAGGCATTGCAAATACATATATAAGTTCATATAGGTATGTATGTATCAAAGTATGTGTGTATCAAAGTGAAAAAACCTTCAACGACCATTAGTGAAAATAATCGTTTTGTTTTTGTATTGTATATTCCTATGTGATGTTAAGCGATTTTCTGGGAGTTTTATCATTTGTTTGGGAGTTAATATGTTCCTATATGCTGCTTTGGAACTATCTGCACTGCTTTGCACAGGTCTGCTCTAGTACAAATTTTTTGGCACACGTTCAAGGCGTAAAAATGGACTGGGCTTGTGTATATACATATAATTGAACAGCATGACGAGCCGTTGGTCTACCMATCTGTATAGCSAKGGAAATCAAGTGCTTTTGTTTTATTTTTCTATAAACCTTTTCACTTTACGAGTTATTTTCACAACAACAACGTCTGTAAAAAATTCTTTGGTATTTGAAAGGGTGCAACTGAAGTTAACGTGTTTTTATGTTTTTCTAAAATTTTGCACTACTACGAACGAAAACTGACTAAATTAGTTTGTGAGGACGGGTCTAGAGCGCTCAAAAATTCCTAATTTCTACAATTTAACCTATGAGTAAGGCGAACAGAATCAAATTTCGTTGTATTTGTAAAAAAAAGAAGTAAGGAAGGGCTAAGTTCGGGTGTCACCGAACATTTTATACTCTCGCATGATAAAGTGATAATCGAGATTTCAGGCGTGGTTG